ATGAAGTCAGAACCTTTCCAAGAACACTCTCTTCTTTTCCCTGTAGCCTTTGAAGAAAAACAGGGTAGAAAGTGGATGTGAGGAAAAAAAGGTGCCAGAAATGATACTTCACCCACTTTTTTTCTGACCCACTACAGTTTTCTGACCCACTACATCAAGTTTCACCTGACAGAATATGACCCTTAACTGAAAACAAGATATTGTCCATCCCCACCTTAAACAAACATCTGCAGAAGAACCAGGCCTGAGGGTGGTGGAGAAGGATCTTGCTCTAACACAAATTTAACACTTGATTGTGAACATATAAATTCAAGACTTTCCTCTGGGTACATCAGCATAGTCTACATTAAGAAAAGCTCTGAGATAAGCACCCTAGGTTTAGCCACTGCCACATCCTGTTAATCTCAAACAATATATAAATGGTATGAGATCTACATAAATAAGCTAACCAAACAGGATTAGTGTTAGGCTAAGACTGCAAAGTATGTTAGAGCATGCTAGCAAGCATTTGGGAAGGCAGGATTTTCTGAAACCAAAATAGTTATAGGATAATAATTTGCTTTGCCACAGTGACCGAGAAGAGTCTGTTTCCCATTCTTATCACTGCTCTGCTCATATTTAACTAATGGCTTGTGGGTAAAATGTTTCATCATTATGAATGTTTGTTTCAGGCTACATTCAATGAGGCCTCTGTGTCAGGAGCACTGCATTCAGACTTTTTGTCCTTCCATGCAATGGACTTCAAGTCTTCATATTCTAACACTTTGCTTTAGCCTGAACTGCAACATGTATTTGTTTAGTATCAGGAAGGATACAGGGAACTTCGACACTTTTTAGGGCTTTGGCACACCAGGCCACATTCATTTCAATGTTTGTGCCAGGGGTTAGAACAGGTACAACCACTACACCAAACTACCTCAAATTTCATTTTAGGTTGGTGAAAATAAAGTTGTAATGCTTTTTCCCATTCAAGTTCACAGATCCCCCTGAAATCTATCCACAGACCCCAGGTGAAGAACCCCTGTTCTAACTGTTCAAGCCAGAACGTAGTTTTTGCAACAGTGTTAATCATTTATAAATGGGGTGCACCAACAATGCAAACAATCTCAGATTCTTCCTATATAAGGAAATAGTAGCTCAATAAATTATTCTTTTATTAGATCAAGTCCCACCTTTCCTCCATGAACTCAAGATTCACAGCAGTTCCGCCTCCATCCCACCCCTCCCCCCCACAACTCTGTGAGGTTCATGGAATTGAAAGGAGTACTTGCCCCAAAGACAGCAGTGAGTTTCCATGGCTGAGGGTTGGCCTTAGTGCCTTAACTGATATAATAGGGAGCAGTGTTTCTAAACCTCAGCAACTTGAAGACATGTGGACTTCAACTCCCAGAATCCACCAGCCAGCATGCTTTAAGAAGTCCACACACCTTCAAGTTGCTGAGGTTCAGAAACTGATAGAAAGTGAAGTTTTATGAAAGGCATGGAAAAGGAAACAGGATATAAATCATCCATTTAACTGCTACATAAAACCCTGACTGGCCCCACCCTCTGCACTAGGTCAATGATTCAGTTACTGGAATGGTTCTGTAGCGCCCTGTTAATCTCATATGTGCTTCATAAGAGAACAGATATGATTTTTAATGCCATGTTTATTTTTGCATTTTCTCAAACAATAGGTACAGTATGGTATTTGAGTGGGTATCCCAATATGGGACACTGAGAAAACAGGTGCTGTGAAAAAGTTGCACCAAAAAATTCACCAGATGCAGTTTTCTCATATTACAATACAGTGATAGAAAACAGGCAAACAGCGATGCCTCCTCTCTGTCTCTTCTAAATACCTATTTAAGGATAACACTATCCTCTAGCAGAACTCAGTAATACTATCTAATGTTTGCATGGGGTGCCTTTTTTTTTTTTTAAACAATCCATTAGAACAGTCAGAAAAGCTTATTGCATCTCATGAAATGGAGAACACCCTGGACGTTTGATGAACAGATAGGTTAAAGAACTAATTACAATCAGAATGCATTATCAATATCACTACTCTGTTCTAGAGCCTATTAGAAGTGATTTGGGCATGCAATTTCACTTAGATTTTTCAAGGAAAGTCCTTGCTAATGGCAGTGGAAGCTTCCTTTTAATGGAAAGACATATTTTGTCAAGAACATAGCAAAGAAAAAAGAAAAAAAAATCCTTTCCTGGTTTCTCACAATCCTAAGACTGCTCAGATTTGCTTCCTAATAACAAAACTCCATACTAATTGCATATGTGCAGTCCTACCATGTCTAGTTTGGCCAATAGTACATCCCATCATTTCAAAATTTATCTGCAGTACAGTAATAAAAGATGGCTGGATCTAAAGCATCTTCTTCAAACTGTCCTGCACAAAGCTGATTTCTCTGCTGGAAGTTGCAGGCAGGAGGCAGAATCAGGGCATAAGAATCTATGATCAGGAGTCAAAGCTGGGAATCTGCACAAACAGAGCAGGTGAAATCAGGAGATGCAGACATAAATCAGTGAAGCCAACCAAGGTTAACAAACAGGAACCCACAGCTCATATGCAACTGTAAGAATCTGAAGTAATAGAGAATGAGTTTTGACTTGTTAATTCTGGCACTTGATTGAGTTTTGACAAGACATACCTATCATTAATGCATCTCCTGTACCTCTGCCTCCTCTGTTCCAGCTTGTTCTGGTTTGAATTAACTGTCTTCCTTTGGCTCGTTTAGCTGACTGCAAACTTTCCATCTTTGGCTTTCTGTGTTTATTCACATCTTTGTTCTTATGGACTTTGGGCCATCCCACATTTTTTTCTTTGGGTCAGATCTAAGCTGATTGAAATCCTCCTCAGCGGTTTCCAGATCAGGGAGCAATTTATCTTGAGCCTCCTTTCATCCTTCAAAGTGGAGTTGTCAGAGTGATTCTTGAAATTGGCACAGGATGCACTTATAATGGCCTCAAAAGTGTCCTCCAGATGTTTTTACTTCAACTCTCACTCTCCAGTTGTTGTGGCCTGTGTCCAGGGATCTGGAGACTTGTGGTCCAAAACATCTGGAGGGCACCAGGTTGCCCATCCCCCATACTACAACCAAGAAGGTATTAGTAGGAATCACCCTTCTGGGTTTCATGTGGATTGCCATATTCCAGAGTGTTTTGACATTCTCTGCAGAAATATCTGTTGATTTCAAAGATGGATTTTCCAGAACCCCATAATTATTTTTTAAAATGGCGTGTGCTAAACTTCTGAGCTCATAAAATGAGACACTCAACAAAGGTGATCAAATAAAGATTTAGCTCTTGCAAGTTATTTGAACATTTTCTTTCTGTGTAGGCATAAAGAGCAGAGAAGAATGAGTAATCCCCCCTGCCCCCCCCCAATATTATAGTTCCATAAAATTATGACTAGCAAAGGAATAAATAGTACATCTGCTGGAATCATCAAACCAGAATCAAGAACTTGATAATTGCACTCTTAAGTGCCCACTGAACACAGCAGGGTTTATTTCTGGGTAAACATATTCACTATTAACTCATAGGCAATGTGATTTTCCATGCATGCAGAAAAGTTGTGAGAATAAACAGTATGACTAAATTTTCTCATACTTCCTTGTTCTTCCTATGTTTTCAAAACCTATATGTCATTGTTATTTCTGACTTTCTAGTTTTTAAGTTTGCAGATTTTACATTGGATGATCATTTTCTTATTTCTCTTACAGCTTTTACAGTATCAATGGAACAGAATTTCTGATGGTACAGAAAACCAGCCGATATATTCAAAAATGAATTATTACAAATAATTTGCAGTGGGAAGAGTCAAGAAGGTATGGGTGGGATTTGTGAAAGTCACTTTCCTCTTTCACTAACAGCATCATCTCATGAATAGAACTGATGATTTTTCAGCAGGAACAAATTCAGGATCCTAAACATTTATACTTTTTGCTCAGACAGGAATGGCCAAGCTGTGACCATCCAGACGTTATGGGGCACAACTCCCACTCTATCACTGTTATGCATGCTGGCTTGGACAGCAGACTTAAAATATCATTTGCTGTTCAGAATGATATAGCTAAACAAACCAAGAAATGTTGCCACTAATTTTGATTTATTTCCGAGCACCATTTATGGCTTAATTCCACATCTGCTTAGCCATAAGTCATTAGTGTCAGTGAGCCATGGGGGCTTCTTTGGATGCCAGTAGATGCAACTTTAGGAAACTGTATTCCATTCTCAGTTCAGCAGCAGTTGTCTTGGGATATGGCATGCTGGCCTCAATTCCCTAACTGTAATATGAAAGATTTATTTTATAATTGTGTTAGACAAAAGGGCTGTAACAGAATAGAGAATTCAGGCATGAAAAGCTAAGCAGTGTTTGATCTTAAAAGGTCTGTCTTTCCTTATTTAAATGTGACTAAAATACTTTCTGGGAAAACTCTTCATAAATACCTAGTGACCATCCAGCCCTACATTTGCTAAAGAAAGTCCTGCTGAATGCAGTGCCCTTACTTTCTAGTGGGGCTTGCAAATTCTAGTTGCTTCAACCATTGTTTGCTTGCTATTATCACCTTGCAACACATAGAGTAACAACCTAGTATCAGCCCCTCCCGAACTACTTTTCTGTATTTCACTTGCTTTGGGGTTTAAAACTGCTGTGATAACTAGCTGGCACAGAATTGTTCCTCCCGTGTTTTATTTTAGTTAGTTGGCCAAATAAATAATGTAATGCTATTTAATAGCCAGTTATCTTTTAAGCATATGAATGTCATGAATGATGTCTCAAACAGACGTTAGTATCTTTTTTACAATGTATGAATTAAGAGCCTAAATGAGGGAAGGCGAGGTTGATGTGGACATTTTAGAGTTAGATGACTCTTCTTTGTAACTGTTGCAACAAAGTTCCTTTTGTCTTTATTATGTGTGGGGCAGATAGAGAGAATCTGCAGCCAATGCTATACACAATACATAATTTGTATTCAGCCCTTTTTAAAATAAGATAATCATTTCCTCTAGTTCAGTTGAACAATTGTTATTGTGTATTTATTCCAGCTCATCTCTCAAAGGCAAAATACAGCACAGAAATATACTTTATTATGTAAAATGTGTTTCCAGTGAAATCTTTAGGGCACTACACAATATGTAGTGTCCCAAATGTAAATAATTATTTTAAAATTACAAGCCTTTAATAGAAATTACAATGAAAATCAGGAAAACTTAAAACAACAATTACATGGTTATTGTCAAGTCACAAAAATAAACTACAGAGAGAATCTGTGGAATTCTATTTGGCATTTCAGTATTAATGACATCAAAAGTACAAAGCAGATACCCTGTTACAATAGGAAAACAGAATTTTAAAGATTCTCCAGGATATCAAGTGTTTTGCAAGGTTATCACAGCAGATCAAATCCAGTTACATGATGTTGCCACTAACGCATACATTCTGCTATGCTTGTGCAATCAACTGTTTCTAGTTGTGACTACTTCGCTATTTTTATTTGATCATTTACCTGTGACCTGGTCTAATTTTGACTCTCCCCCCCCGACAGGAGAGCAGGCAGTAGCATGGGGCCAAAGAAGCAGATGAGCCTCATTTTGGCACAGCCAAACCCTCAGGACCTCTTAATCTCTCTAGGAAGGTCACAGCCCTCTTCTGTCTATATCCATCTGCCTTTTTCTCACCTTGCAGGTTGCTCCCCCAACCGACCATAAGCACAACTCAACTGTACTCAAGATGTTTCTCAGCCCTAACCATTTATTTTTAGAAAACTACATCGACGGGTTCATGATACCCAATATCTGGTACTGTCCTGCATGTAATATAACATTTCTAAATTAAGGATTGTTTTAAAGATACCATTCTGTTTAGAATAGGTTCGAAGTGATACAGCCCTCTTAGAACTAATGTTAAAAGCACTTCAAAAGTGATGCTAGCTGTAGCAAACTCTTATCAAAGACCATTGATAAGAGTTTGCTACAGCTAGCATGGAAGAAAGGGATGTTGAGAAAGAAAAAGGGATGGCAAAAAGAGGGGAAATGGGTAGGACCACTCTTTTGCTGTGCATTTCTCACCTCTTCAATTCATCGCCAAGACCCTGCCTCTCAGAATAATGACCTTCAACAGAAGAGAATTGTCCATTCTGATTCCAGATGAGAAAAGATAACAAACAGTACCCATCCTGCACAGCTAACTTCCCTTTATTTTACTGCATCATCACATATTTTGTTCATCTTTGTTACTTATTTCTCAAAGGAAATGTTTAATATTAGTAGTACTTAAGAGTTTCATTTTATTTAAAACAGAATGTAAAGCATCATATAATTATAAATGGAACACCATGCATTAAACATGTAAATACTCTGAAGTGCTTTAAATGCTTTTTGCATTCACTCAGTTCTATATTCAAAAAGCAATCCAGGTAAATTTACTAGCTTATTAATTATTTAATATGGCTTATTAACTTTGTGGGGCTCTGTCATCTGAGTGAAAGGACTGGGAAAAACACAGGATACGTTCATATAAAAAGAGAACTCTGTCAACTAATTAATGAACTAACTAATGTATAATTCAACTATCAAAAATGCAGTGTTGCTGTTCATTTTCCTAATCCTACCACAAGTATCAGGGGCTTGGCACCTACCAAATGGTAAATTTCATCCTGCCAAACAGTAACAACAGATGTGAGTCTTTAACAGCAAAAAGAAACACACTTCTTGACACTGAGAAAGGGACCATCTCCAAATTATAAAGATATTAAAAACAGCCATCATTCACATCATTATTCAGGAATCTCTTGCAGACTCTTCCCCTGCCTTTTTTCCATGTTCTGCAGACATTTCAAGGTGGCTCCAGTGTATAACAAAAAGCTACCATCTGATCAGAAAATTGAGAGACAAATAGGGCCATTCATACAGAAGCACTTAGGCAAGCTCCCAAGAATCTAGACTCATTGCATTATAACCCTTAAAGGAGAAATATGACTCTGAAAAATGTTTTTATGTGTGTTCCTTGAACTTCAGTAATATTTTCCAACAACTTTGAAAACTGTCTGGAAATAAACAACTTCTATTCAACAACAACAGTTCCAACCCATTGTCAATATTTAACTCATCCATGTTAGTTCCTTTATTAATTTTGACCTCTGATACTTTTCAGCCAAATAATCCATTTGCTCAAAGCTAGCAACATTCTTTTTATCAACTTATTGTTGTTCATAACTTTTTGCAGAATTCTAACCCCAATATCAAGATCCATTGTTTTAAAAAAACCTGCAGCCAAAGGGCAACGAGGACATGGGGCCAAGGGATGTTGGACATCCAAGATGCAGATGGCTGATGGAATTTTTTCCTGAGGAAAGTTCACCAGTAGCAGTGCTTCAGAAGAGGCTTGGTTCTTCATTACTAAGGGATTCATTTTCTTTAATGTATTTGAGAATGTCCATCTCATCCATGATTTGGATCTTCTCTTCTGCTGCCTGTCCTGTTTGGGCTGGTGAAGATGGGAGCTTTTTCTCAGGTATCATTGGTTTTCTAGATATTACTGGCTTTGATGCTATGGTGGGCTTGGGTTTAGGCTTGGGTTTAGAGCTCACTTGCAGCATTTTTTCAAAATCATCTTCCACTCTGAAAGAAAAAAGAAAGAAAAGGCATCTTTTTTATTTGAGCAAGTCCAACATGATGGTGCACACCTGTCTTTTCTGTACCCATTACAAACCTGGAGAAGGGCCACACTTGCTTTGTACATGGGAGGTCACAATTTTAGTCCACAGTTATAATATCTCCAAATAGGGCTGGAAAAGACCCATCTCTGAAACCCTGGAAAGCCACTATCTGTTGATATAAACCAGGAATGAGCAAGCTGTGGCTCTATAAACAATGTTGAACATAAGCTCCTAGCTCTCCCAGGAAGTACAGCCAGTGGTTTGTATTGTATTCAGCAAAAATGGAGGGTCACATTCCTGATGTAGACCACAGAAACTTTGATGGACCAATGATCTGACTTGGTATAAGTCAGTTTCCTATACATCCTTTAATATATATAAAGTACTAACTGGGCACCTGGGCAATGCTAAACAATATCCCATCTTCCACTCTCCTAAACACCATCCCTTAAAAATACTAACTCATTGTCAATACTAACAATGAGCTAGACTGGAAATAAAGCAGCTGCAGAGGTCAATATCTTTGTCTCTGTGTGTTCACGGCACTTCAAATTGCACCATCCTTCTACTTGCCATGTAGCTGAGGCACTTGGGTAATCATCATAGGCCCAACTACATAGGGCTCAAGAGCATGAGATTCACTATGTAATCCATTTTGATGAGTTTGCATGAACTCCAATGAACATACCTCCCATCGATCTCCTACAAACACACACATAGAGCCATATCAAGCTATCTTCTCTGTCCTCTTTTCAGAGCAGTGTTTGCAGCTGAATTTCAAGACTGCGCTGGTACCATGAGTGGGCTGATGCTAATATTATTCCAGAAGAATAAAATATATTCTTTGAATGAACTCTCAAAGATACTTCCCAATCAATATGAAAAGGTTGAATCAAAACCAAGTTAGCCCAATTTCAGTCCCACTATATGATGGATACAGCCTTTTTCCTGCAGTAATGCCTTTAGCAACATTAGTATATTTATTTATTTATTTATTTATTTATTTATTTATTTATTTATTTATTTATTT